CAGTCTACCCTAGTGATTTTCCTATTTTCATGTATAATCTTCATGTGATTTCAATGGAAACGTCCTTTTCTGGCAAGTACGTATATTTCATGACATTTGTGTTGTGATTTCTTCCAGTAATCTGTAGCCTCGTGATCAGGTTGTGTCAGTGCGTGCTGCTTTATGAGGGTCTCGGCAGGGAAATGACGTGTGTTGTGGTGGGATATGAGTGAGTCTGAGTGCAGTTTTAATGGATCTGGTATTTTAAGTAATCTTTTACATTAAACAGGATCAATGCGAACCGTTTTTGACTCAGGGCGGGTTGTGTACGTATAGCTGCCTGGGGAAATGATAGTTCATTATTCACGTTCTGAGGACGTACTAATTGTGTCATTTCACTCTGCTTACGGGTAATTGAAGAAACTATTTCATGCATTCTGATAACAAATGTAAACTCCATTCTGGAATTAAACGAAGGATGATTCCTAAAGCAACTTAATAGAAAATACTCATAACTAAGCGCATGCTGCTTTATCTCTTGCACTCTTTACGTGCATAGCTACATAATTATAGAAGTGTAAATGACACACACATACTTTAACTTATCCAGACACACCTATCAAACGTCCAATGTAATTCTATCAAATGTAATTCTATTTTCTTTCTTTTTTTTCCTTCTTTTTTTTAATCTCTGTAAACCTTTTTAGAAAAGTCATGGGAATGCTAACAGACTGTTTTCTCAAGGTAGGCTATTCGACTTCCTTGAATAAGCGCCATCTGTGGGACAGAAGTCATCCAGCCTTTCAGATTGGTGAACCAGCACTTTAAAAAAAAACATTACTTATTAAATGTTACAAGAGCTCAAGATTCACCCATGATCTGACATGCAGATGGCGCTCATGCCAGAAAGCTTTTTTTTTTTCTTTTTTTAATGTGATCTAGTACACAAACCTTACGAACTTATTAACTAGGGTGAATCCAGGGTTCCCCATAGTGACCCCTAGAGGACGCAGTGTCTCGTTCCCTACTCAGGGAACCATGGTTACATAAGTAACCTGAGGCGTTTTATACTTGTGCTACAACTTTTTGGCCTGTGCTACAAAACTTTCAACCTCTGTAGCACCAGTGCTATGTGAAAAAAAAGTTAACGTACAGCCCTGTTGTAGATGGTACAATGCAGTCTGAGTCACGAGGGTTAACCAGAGTAAAAAACATTAAAAAGAACCTGAGGCCTATGGCTGTTACTGGCTAGGAGGTGGGATAAAAATAAAGGATAATAAGCTATTCATTGTGGAAGGGACATGGTGAAATGAAAATCTTACCTTGGAAAAAAAACTTTTGCAATATCTTCGGATTGGAAAGACACACATTTTTCCAATTTCCCGCGATCAAAGAGAACGCTAATATGCATGTGTGCAGGCTGCAGCAAAGAGCATGGCTCGGGAGCCGTTCCTGTGCACACAAGTTATTTAAGGTGTTTCAACTGTACACATGTCTCAAATGTATTCAGTCTACCCTAGTGATTTTCCTATTTTCATGTATAATCTTCATGTGATTTCAATGGAAACGGTAAAAGCTCAATAGCAAGGCCCTTCATTATTTGAATTCATCACAGAAGTTGAAAAGATGCGTAGGTTTTAATTTCACGGTCACCAGCATTAGTATGAACAAACTTTCATTTTCAAATTGATTTGTTTTGTTGTACTTCCAGTTTACTACACAAAGAAAGGTATTTCCTATCCTTGTTATTGTCGTTTCACATTTCAAGTGTGATTGAATATTGGTTGAATCCAGGTAATTAGAGAAACTATATTTCATGCATTCTGATGACAAATGTTAACTCCAACCTGGAATTAAATAAAGGATCAATGATTTTGACTTAAAGCAATAATATACATACCTCACGTTGCATGGGTGTCATCTGCTGGACAGAGAGTTACATAACATATCAGGTCATGTCTCCATACTGAGTCAATTCATACTATTGAACTATTATTATTTTCACATCCTCCGAATTATGCTTATCAATTCTGTTTTTATTTGTATTATCATAAAAAAATGAATAATTCAGAATAGGATTAGAATAGAATTCTATTTTAAAATATGTTTTCTACTACCGCAACAGTAGTGTTTACAACGGCAAAACCACCATACCCTGTAAACTCAATAATAATAATAATAATATTATCAATACGATAAATCAGTTTCTAATTCCAGAGTAATTAAGAGGTGCAAAGAAGAAATTATTTAACTTTTACATTTAAATTGGTCTATTCTGTTCTATGATTCTTTTTCAAAACTGTGTCATTTGCTGCTGTATCTATACAGAAACATCTGTTTCGATACACATCTCAGCAAGGAGCGCAGCCCTATTAAAAGCCGTGTTCTATGTGCCCCTTTTATAATTCGAGCACCTGCCCCTCCAAAGCTCTCTGCACCCCTGATCATGCCAAACAGTCAGATTAGACTAAGATCTACCACATTTAACCAGACTGACACAAAATTACACAAGAAAAATTTAACAAGATAATCCTTAAAAAGACCATTCCTACGACTGTCTTAAATTAATGCTCATATTGTACAATTGTAACATTAGACGAATTAATTCAAATTATATATATAGGATAAAGTACTCCTAAGTTAAAAGCTATTCTATTCAAGTGTGAACATTAATCATCATTATTTAGATCACAGAAGTTGAAAAGATGTGTAGATTTTAATTTCACTGTCATCAGCATGCACAAATGCTCCCTTGTTGGAATTGATTTTTGTTCTACTTTCAGTATACTGGAAAACAAGACAAAGAAAGGCATTTACCATTTATCAACACTATTCATTGCATGATTCCAGATATACCCGTTTCTCTGTTTATTCTGTTTTATGTTGTCTTATCCATGCATTACTCTCTGGATGTCTGATGTTCTCTTTACTTTCTGTATTATTGTTTGATCGTTTGTTTGATGTTATCCTCACATTTCTGATGTTTATTGTAAAGTGTCCTTGAGTTCTGGAAAGGTGCTATATAAATAAAACGTTTTAACAAATACCTGAAGTGTCCGGAAACGAATGACTTGTGTGTGATACTATGTATAAATACAATGAATGATATCTGAAAATATAATAGGAAAGAGGTCCTTAGCATCACAGTAAAACAAACCATTTGCATATTATAAATTGTGTGACTGAACTTTTGTTGAGGTTGGGAATGACATACATGAGAATAATATTTTATGAAGGAGTCTCTATGCTACATATCAAAAAAATTGATAATTGATACATCATGAAACATGTCATGTTTTTATTAGACAGACTATAAGGTATGAAACAAAGCGATAAATCCTTTTGAGTTGATCACTTAAAAGCGACAGAGGAAAATGAAATAAATGCCTGTAAATACTTTGATTACACTGAGGCAAAATCAAATTAGCACATCAGATCTGCTTTCATAAATGTAATGTTAAATATTTACTTGTTTTTATGTGCATTTGGCATTTTGTCAGCATTATACATACACCTTTACTGAACACTTTCATTTTCATGTTCCACAAATATGTTGTTAAACCTGCGTAGACTTGCCCTATTGTCAATCCAGAATCCAAAGCATATGTAAGTATTTAATACGTTTATCATGTATTCTGTTGCACCACCATCAAGTGGACAGGTTGTTGATGCATGATCTACAGTAGCTTTCATTTTCTTCTTATATAAGCCTATTGGAAAATAACTTTCAGTATCAAGTTAATACTTTTCTAATCAGTAACCACAACCAACAAACACAGTCCCCAACATGAACTAAAATTGTGTAAGTGGTTAAATAAAGTCAAAGGAGGGGATGTGTCAGTGTGCTGAAGAAACTGTGTGGTAACCGCTCCTCATATAATAAACTGACTCCCTGTCCTCTAATCTACAAAATGCTGGACATTAATTATATTCATTTTCTCTGCTATTTGGACACTACTTAATTTCTGCTATCTGCAAATGTAGACTCTAAAAATCAGATGATATGATCATATGTTTGACCTATATTGGCATACGAGCTTCCTCCTGCTACTGTTTCTCATTCCCATGTATGATTTTTGTTAAAGAGGAAAACATCTAGTCAAGATTGTAACCACCAAAGACAGTGATGTTTGATTATCAAAAAAAACAAACAATCATAATAGGATTTCAATAGCAGAAATTAACCGTTAGTTCTGACAGGTCACGTGAGTCAAGCTTGAATCAGCTGATTCTCAGCTGATCACATCTACCTATAGGAATATAACACCTATCGCGGCATTCCTATATAAGCTCTATTCAGCATTATTCAGCAGCTTTTCAGCTTGCTCCGGAGCAAATTACCCTCCTCCATCCCCAACTCCTCCTATCGCACAGTCAGGACTTGGCTTTCTGATATTCCTTGTTAATCAGACTCCTTTATCTTGAATAAAGTGTTACACTTAAATATCATTAAGTACATTAATGATATCTGCCTTGTTCTCTTCTGTTAACCCTGGGGGGGGTTATTATTGCTGCTCTCCCTGCTCATTCAGGCTGCATGGATGGGCAGGGAGTTTTTTGCCCAGAACCGAACCATACCGCCAAACCAAACTTTATGCTAAGTATCTATCATTTTGACGATAGTGGTCCTGACAGAAACGTTAGTTTTATTTGACCTCTCTGTCAGAAAATAGATTCTGGTTCTTGATTCTGATATACAGTGCAAATAACCAAAACCTTGTCAGGGCAAGGGCAGGAAGCAGAAGACGAAGTGAAGAAAAAAGAAAAATAGAAGTTTATTAAAATATTCTTTCTTAGTTACACTTTGTCTGATCATCATAAATTCAAGAAGTGTTACCAAAGCAAAGATCATTGAAAACCACTGCTTCACATCATTCTGTGACACTGAACTCCTTGAAATGAAACAGTCACTCTGTGCTTTCTGTGCAGCACAGAACATAAGATTATACAGTAAGATAAAACACAAAGTAATAAGTAAAAAAAACAGACCAGAAATCAATACACCAAAGCTCCAAAAATGCTCAAATGTAATAATGGATGTTTTGAGCACCGACTTTGCAGTAATCACTCTGTCACACATAGATTAACAGTTTATCATTTTCTGTATTGCAGCCATTTGTCTCAGTTAATTTGAGGAAGGAAAGATGAAGATTCAGGTAAAACTTGCACTTTTTTAAAAAAGAAACCCATCTATGCACTACTGTCGCTATATGAAAACTGAAATTACTTTCTGTTCCTCTTTTGAAAGTCTGTTACCCCAAAAATTCAAAATGTTCCTAAAGAAATCATAAAATAAATGCATATGAATGGAGCGGTTTAATCCAAGGTGCTTTTCCACTGTTCGGCCACACGGTTCTAAGAAAGTAAGGAGCAGTTCCAGTTATATTTCCACTTGAAATTGTTTAGGCGTGGTCTGATTACAAACCATTCTCGGCCTGGAAATGTTCCACCCATGCCAAAGCATGCTGTAGAAAGCCTGTAGTGACGTCGCTACGCGGGATTGGTCATTTGTCAACTCCACTTAAATAAATTTGCTATTTGAAATACACACATATAGCACTTTATCAGTGCTTGATTTATCAGAACGTGCGTGTAAGTGAACAACACTAAATAAGCCTTATTTAGTACAAATTAGTTTTTTTTTCACTTGTTTTTTTTTTAAGGCAAACGGTTTGCATTTGTATTTATGATTTTTTATTTAAAGAAAGTGTAACAAATTCTTGTATTTTCTCAACCAGAGCTGTTGCATTCTCATAGCTAGCTGTTGCTCCCTTGTTCATGGCGTCACACACTGAATCAGCTTCTTCTGCTGCTTTCCATCCAGTGATTCCTCCTCCAACAGCTCCTATAACAGCTGCGACTCCAAGAACACCTGCAGAGGTCGTGCCTGCACTAACCCCTGTACCTGCTGCTGCTCCGGCACCTCCAGCCACTGCTCCTGCTTCCGCTGCTCCTCCTGCGACTGCAGCCTTGGCAGCTGTTGCTGCTCCACCTGCCGCTGCTCCTGCACCCGAAACTCCAACTGCTAGTGCTTTCAAAGGGTGAATTGCTTGTAATACAGCCATAACTGAAGCTAATGCAACACCTGCGCCCAGAAGAGCACCAATCAGTGCCCCTGTTGATGCTCCTACAAGCTGCTTAAGAAATTTATCATGAACAATTTTCTTTGCTCTTTCTCGTTGCTCTTCTGGAGGCACGTTCTTATTCTTTTTCATTTCCTCTTGAATCTCTTTCTCCAACATCTGAAGAAGCTCATTGCTGTAGCAGACGTTTTCTTTCACCATCTTGTCGATGGTCTTCAGCAGATTTTTCACCTGAAACTTGTTGCTCTTGTTCCCACAAATATGTTTATTCCAGTATTTGTTGTCGATGACGTGACAGCGACCTCCACATTTATCAACCAGCTCCTGAAGCTGTGAATTGGTCTTCACAAACTCTTCAATGGTTTGGCCTTCTAGCTGCTCACCAAAAGTGAATAAGATCACTGTGTGTTTCAAGACGTGTTCATCTTTGAAGGTATTCAGGATTTTCTGTACCACCTCATTTTCATGTTTCGTGTATCTTCCGACCTTTAGGACCACAACAAAAGCATCGATGCCTGGAGCGCATTCAATCAGAGCTTTGAGGATCTCAGATTTGTTCTCATCTTCATCATGATTTGTGTCAAAGGCTCCAGGTGTGTCGATCACTGTGATCTTTTTTCCCTCGAGCGTCCCGTCTGCACTTACACATTTATCTGTTACAGCATTAGCTGAAGCTTTACTGGTGAACACATTTTTTCCAAGAATTGTATTCCCAGTGCTGCTTTTGCCATCTCCTGTTTTCCCAAGAAGGACGATCTTTCTCTCTGTCAAAAAAAGAAAAAAGAAAAGAAAAAGAAAAACAGTAAAAAAAGTATAAACCATAATGCTACTCTTTATCAGTGCTTGTTCGTTTAAGTGGCATTGTAAAATAATGTAATAACTTACGTTCCATTATATACTTATATATATCCTTGTCTGTTGATAACGTCAGTCTCTGTAAGGTAAATAATATGCTGGTTAATCATGACTCTTCATATGGGATATTAGCTATTTATGATGTTTCTCATACCACCGATTTATTTGCTTCAATGTCTTCAACTGTTTTACTGGCATATAAAGTCTTTATTGGCATACAACGTCTGATGCATATTAGTTTATTTAGCCTAAAACTAACTTAAATAATCAGAGCTCAGGGTTCTGCTCTGAAGAAAACACAGAGTAAATGAGTGTGACCTGTTATTTCTGTGCTTTGTGATCAGAGTTTCATCCAGATGTAGTCATTGAATAATTCAGACACAGATCTCCATAAACAAAGAGCAAGAAGTTAGCAGGTTGTTGCGATTTGTGTCAGTGAGAAATTCATTGTGCACTGAAAAATAAAGTAAACAATGTGCATCTTTATTTTTTTCCCTTCAATAACTGTTGTAAACTACATATAGAGGACATTTGAGATTAAGGTCAATGGGATATTTTTCTAGCTTTAACTGAAGTGTATATTCCAACATATCCTAAGAATATTCCTGATGCATACACGGATGTCTGGTCGTTAGAACAGACCTCAGTAACACTTTACTTTTACTTTTACTTCCTATTAGATAGTGGAAAGGTCGCTGGATGGTCACAGATATATCTGTGTGTGTGTGTGTGTGTGTGTGTGTGTGTGTTTGTGTGTGTGTGTGTGTTTGTGTGTGTGTGTTTATTTCTCACATGGCCTATAAGCAAGTAACTTTCAGAAGTGAGTTAACCCCTCACACACTGAGAGCATTTTCAATTTCACACCTAGGCTAAACACTCAATAATAATAATAATAATTGTCCATTCATAGAATATCTTTAGATTAGAATCATGATAGTAAACACTCACAACAAACAAAACAGATAAAGTGATGCCATGAGATAACTGTTAAAAACAATATTGTTTCACATTCTATTTACTGGAAAAGTAAGGACGGGGTTTGGACTTGATCACAGTCATGTCAGCTGTATCTGTGCAAAGGTTTGTGTTGATAGCGCAAAGCAATAAAAGGTTCTGCCATCGTTTCATATATAGAGTG